AAGAAAAATTATGAAAAGGTGTCCAAGTTCTAGCTGCCTAGACAGCAAACAGTGAAAAAAAAGTGGAAGCGTGCTATACCACGACAAGAAACTGGTGGTTTCACGTGTTCCAGCAGGTGCGTGCGTGTGAAAGCACTTACCAGTACTTATTAGTGGTAAGGATTTGCCGCGGGATGCCGACGTACTTGTCTAGTGCAAAAAAGGCACAGAGCTCACCCGCCGACCGAGCGTCGCCGCGGGAACCGTCAGATGGGCTGGAGAGTGTTGAGGCTGCATCAACACTGCACGAGGCTCTCTGACGCAGCTGCCTTGGATAATGACGATGTTAATGAAGGTGAGCACACTGGTTGCCTCTTCCTCTTTGGAAGCCATTAATAGAGAAGGTCAATGAATGAAACGCTCACCATCTCTTTTTAAACAGGTACTGAGATGACCAAAAGTGTAAGGGCAAAATGCTAAACACACAGAGCAACACGCACGTGAAAAATCCATAGCTGAAAAATCAATAGCACACATCCATTGCATTAAACAGAGACCAGTGCTTTGAATCGAAGCTTGCTATAGGGTGACGGCGCAAGAGACGACGCACGTAAACTGTAGAAAACTTGCGCAAGCTTTAAAAGCATGGGAAGTCATTTTTTGATATCAATGCAGGATGACCACGAAAAGATAATTTTTTTTTTGCAACACATGATAAGGGCGCTGAAGTGGGACGCAGTCGGTCAGTTTTTACGTTTGAGGAAGCATGAAGGGGTTCCACCTTAACAATAAAAACGATAAAAAACAGGGAAAACATCGTGGGACTAAGCTACACAGCAAAGTAAAGGACTGGGAAACTGCATTACATCACCTACCGAACTTTGATTAGGCTACGGCACCGTAGTGACAAGTCAACGCAAAACAAAACACGAAAACATGGCAAAAGCTGTGTGGAGTATTGCTTGATCCTCATCAGTGATCACTTGCTCAATTAAAAGCAAATATTCATTCAAACTGGCGGTTGTTTTGATAAGTAGGAGGCTATTTTAAGATATATGTATCCGTTTACAAACACCGAATGTATACATAGCCTGCAAGGTTGGATATGCGCTTTAAAAACTTGCAACCATGGCACTTCCGCAACGCGTTAAGAACCACCAGAGACGTTGGAGAACTCTCCATGGATTGTACACAAATGTTTACTAGATGCTTAAAGAAAAAAAAAGCATGCTTTTATAGTGGTAGCATATCTCATAGTATAATCAGCATGGCGTAAAGTTTCTAGCTTCAAGGCGTCATTCGACGCTTCATTTATCTGTAATAGAGCTCTCCCGAATTCGTTGAAGCTAACATCAATCTGAAAACGAAATCAACTTTCAAGGATACATTTAACTAGGTTTCACAGTTCCGGCGCGTGCCGTACAACTGCAGTGCCGGGGCCGCTCCGACGCCCCGACGCTGGCGAGGGTGCCCCTAGCGGTTGTTCTTGTTCCTATATCAAACTTTCACCGAAGCTTCATGACCAGGATAAGTATTGCAGGACTTTGGTGATACCAAATAAGACTTGCTTTTTCTACTTTTTATAGCACTAGATTTGCCAAGAATAAGACGAGCAACAGGAAGTGCAGGCACTGTATGCATATTACCAATACAGCATGGATAAGATTGTTGCATTGTTCTTCAGCACAGACCAGAATAACCAGTCTTCGAACAACGGCGCTAGTGCGGCCACAGAAAAATGGCAAAAAAAGTTCCCCGTTGCTTCTTTTTGCTGTTGTTACGCTATTGTTACTTTTCAGAAAGGTATTGTTATATTTGTTTTTTCATGTGCAGAAGCAACACGGCAATACATATTGAGCCACTCTGCTGAAATTGGACGCGATGAGCTTTTGTAATGAGTCAGGCTTGGGCCTCGACCACTTAGTTCCGGTATTAGCAAGGAACAGAAGTTACAGCGACTACTATTTTTAGTGAGCATTTGCTGGCTGTGTTTTTATTTCTCCACAGCATGCACCTTGAACCATGTTTCCTCTTTTGTCACCATTAATATCTAAGACGCGGCCCTCACACCTTGCTGACTGGTGATTCCTGAATTGATCTTTTAACCACCCTAATATTACAGAACTCAGAGTCAACTTCAACTACCCATGTTGGTGCCATACGAAGGCTGTCACACAAATGGCATCTCGTATTGACGGTGAAGTGCACAATAAGGCTGTAAACCATGCCGGTAAATAAAGGTGTGTAGCCACAGTTTTTCTATTACCCGCCGAATGTTTTTAACAATCATGTTTGTGACTCACAAGCAGACCACAGCATAAATTATTATAATTTGTCAAATACGAGTGGAAATAAAGATTTATCAAACGCTTTAATCGCGTTCTTTTCTCTCGTCCCTTCCAGATTTGGGTGCACGTTGAAGAACCCCAGGTGGTCGAAATTTCCGGAGCCCTCCACTACGGCGTCTCTCATAATCATATGGTGGTTTTGGGACGTTAAACCCCACAAATCTAATCTAATCTTTTCTCTCGTCCCTACCAGTGCACTAGAAACTAAGCAAGGACGGATGACACAGAGAAAAAATGTTACGTCACGCGCACGTCATCAAATTCGAACAAGCACGGCTTACTGTCAGCGGGGTGGCATGCCTGGGCGTGGACAAGTGACGGCTCCCTGCGGCGGCAACGATAGCTATGCCACTCACTATGCTCAAGTCAGCCAATAGCCGTAGGCTCGGGTATGCGGCGTGGTCATTTGGGTATATATCCTAATTTGTAGCAAGGAGAAGGAACGATTAAAGACCTATTTTGAAAACTGTAATTTTGAGCCCGCATGTTGCACTCTCATGTTAGGCTCACGCGTTTTCTGTACCCTCGACGACCGAACGGCAGCGTTTAAGGACTACCGTGATAGAGTAATGCAGCGATCATTTAACCGCACGGCGTCTGCCTTCCTCGATGGTGATTTTCTTAAAGCCACCCTCGTAAGAACGCGTAATCGTACATATCAGCCAGGAATATTGTAGGTACTCTACCTGTGATTGTTTCAACGGACGAAAAGAACGATATCTCAGCTTCCGTTTTCAGCAATCGTCGTAATGTTTCACGTGTAGCTGCTCATTGTTTTAGCGTTTTAAGATGAACAAAAAAATGCCGTAGTTAACAGGGTGCATCTATCCAAGAAGCTTCCTTGTGAGCCGCTTAGAATTTCTTATTTAGTTAAAAACGCATATTAGTTAATTTTGCTCCTTAAAAGAGCCCCTGTTGTCTTTCTCCCCAGTTTGTTAGAGCTGTTACAGCAATTTCTCAATGACACTTCGCTTTGGTATTGTGCACTCATTCGATGGGAGAATCGCCCCGTTCAATAACAGATAGGTACTTCCCCACTCCTCCTGCCCACCCCCACAGAATTAGTTTATAAATATAATTTCAATTTACATTAAGAAGCACAGAATTCTTTCATGAGTACTTGTATCTGCTTATATCCAAGATTCTAAGACACACAGCAGGGCACAAGTATGGACACATACGCTAATTGTACTGGATATTTTCTTTGTGTGCATTTCAGACTTGTAACATAAATTAACGAGCAGCGACAACCTTGCCATACAAATATTATGATCCTCTTTTTTCATCACTGTCAAGTATATCTCACTATACTGTAAAGATCTTAATGATTGTAACTGCTTATATCCAAGATTCTAAGAGACACAGCAGGGCACAAGTATGGACACATACGCTAATTGTACTGGATATTTTCTTTGTGTGCATTTCAGACTTGCAACATAAATTAACGAGCAGCGACAACCTTGCCATACAAATATTATGATCCTCTTTTTTCAGCACTGTCAAGTATATCTCACTATACTGTAAAGATCTTAAAGATTGTAATAAAGACATCAAAAGAAAATAACTTTGCTGCCTAAACTGTAAAAGTCTTAAAGCCCTAAAAGAAATTAAGGACCTTAAAAGAAAATAACTCGACTTATATAAATGGGCTTTTAGAAAAGCCAAGCAATACCAATGTGAAACGGCCTATTTCTGAGCTCACATACTTGAAGAGTAATATACAGAATACATGTTTTTAAATACTGCAGCTTCCTTCCAAAGGAGCATTGTTGATATGCCAGAAAGAACTACTCAAGCTAACCAGATTTTCTGTAAACTTGCGTTTTTCTTCATAATCAGCAACATGAAGGTTATAGGTAGCCCCCTTTATATTTCAGCCAGTGTCAGAATTGTTCCTATAATAATAGAGTATCTGAATATTCAAGTTCCATAAGTTGCAATGTACTGAACATGATTGCTACACTCGTAATCACGTCCTGCATAAATTTCTGGATATAGCCAAAAAATACAGCCTGATTTCGCTTAGTTTCCCGGCTATAACTAGCACGTTAGCCAGGACCTGACTAAGAGTGTACGTGGCAAATCACAAGATCATTATTAAAAGCTATTTTGCTAATATTAAAATTAAGGTGCACGGTATACTGATGTTACGTCAGCTAGGCTGAAACAATGCGTCTAGCACCAGTTGTAAGATATATACCTTAGTTACAAAGAACATCTCCGTGTCATGTGTCCTCGTTTCTTATCATGTTTACGCTCTTACACCTGTGAGCATATAATCAGGTGCTGCCGATTTCTCTATTGGAGACCTTCACTCCTCTTGACAACTGATAAAAAACCAAACATAAAATACTCACCACAGTTTTTTTACAATCGTTCAAGAGATAAACAATGTGTTATATTTCTTATGGTACATTCCAGAAAAGTTCATGTGCAGCTATGAGGATTTAAGATGCCTTAGCGTCTCAACCGTTTCTTTCTGACAGGAATTTGTGACCGAATCAGACGCTGTAGGAAGGAGGAATGTATAGTGTCAGATGAGCTTTAAGAATAATAAATAATGCTCAGGCTGCTGTGCAAAGGTAGAAGCTCTGTGAGCCTATAATTTGCCTTTGCGCCAGCGTGCGCGTACACTACGAGGCAAACACAAATCGTGAATGTATGATCTGCCAGCTACATATTTGCGGCGTTTTTCACCCGCCAAAGTCAGAATACATTAGAAAGGCGTGAATCCTTCCTGTGCGCTACAGCCTGGGAAGTCCTCACGCTCGAAGGCCGGTTGCAGGAGAGCTCGTGGCGCGCCACACTGGGCGCCGAGCGCCGACGGACACCATCAGCGCTGTCGGAGTAGCAGCTGCAGCAGTTGCAACGGAAAAGGATCGCCTTGAAGCCCATGCGGAACTTGCTATTGAAGAACGCGTACAGGATGGGGTTGATGCAGCTGTTGGAGGCACCTAGCCACTGGGCGACCGGAGCGGCCACCTCGATGAGCGACTGCTCGAGGCTTCCGTCGGCCAGCGGCTCGCCCATCTTGAGCCTCGCGAAGATGGCGTACAGGGGAAGCCACGAGATGGCGAACACCACGACCACGACGAGCAGCATTTTGGCCACTTTGATCTTGGAGCGCTGTATGATATTCTCCACGCCGAAGTCATGCGTCTCGCCCGGTGGACGGCGGCGCCACACCTTGAGCCAGATGAACACATAGCAAAGCGTGATGACGCACAGCGGCAGCAGGTAGCAGAGCACCAGGTTGGCCACGATGAAGTACAGCACGCCCATTCCCTCGGAGGGCCAGTCCTCGCGGCACACCTGCAGCGTGGTCTCGCTGTCACTTAGCATGGGCATCAGTCGGAAGAAAAAGGTCCATGGCAGCGTTATCGTCAAGCTGAACGCCCAGATGATGGCGATGACGACGCGGCACGTGCGCAGGCTGATTTGTCGCTTCATAGGGTAGCAGATGGCGTAGTATCTGGAAAAGCGAGAAAGCAAAGGACGCAGAGGTTGTAGTATGAAATTTTGCAATAATTCCACCGTCACTACACGTGAGGAATATGACGCGTTATTCTTCATTTATTGTTTTGCTGACCCCCCTTTTCAGAAAAAGAACAATGTTCTTCAGCTCACCTCAGATATACCTACGCATAACTTGACAGCCCTCTCTCCTTCCCCCTTATCTTACAGCATTCAATTAGACATGGAGAAAAAGGACGTATTCAACTGTGGAACAGAAAACAATGAGCGGATCGAATATGAGGGGTGCTGCCGGCTTCAGGCCCAGCTTACGTGTTTGACGGACCTGTCAGCATTGGAAGAGCTGCCCAAAGAATCTTGCCTGTGCAGGACTTCTCAATTAGTAACACTCTAATGCCCACGAACAGTTATGCCTTCAGAAAAATTGCGAGAAAACGCTCACTCTTTTTACTCTTCTTGTACAGTTCCTTTCAGGTAAAATAAGAATGAAATTTCGTTTGAGGCATAACCTAGTTAGTACTGTTTCTAAATAATTAATTCCTCTCGTATAATATGCAAGTCACTGTACCTTCTTCATAACATGTCAAATCTTCAATAGCTGCTTGTCATGACACATATAGGAGCTTTTAGTAGATTTATTGAGGTATTACGTTCAATGTATCAAATATGATACAGTGGGCATTACAGGGTGAAGGACTGTCGAAGCTTTTCACAACAAGCACAAAGAAGAATAAAGGTGACGATCTATTTGAACTGCAGCACAACAAATTGAACCTCATTTTTCTCTAATTTGCTTAAGGATTGAAGCAGCCTGAAACTGCGGATTAAGCGGATGTGCCTCCCCGTTGCTTCAGGTTGCAACTCTCAGACACGCCAAGATCCGTGGACCTTCTTCTAGTCTGTTTTTGTGCTCACAACGGCTTTTTTGTGTGTGTGTGATCCACGTGTTGCTGTATTCTTGTAAAATATTTATTTCATAATATCATCGGTCACCTATATTTGCACAATTAGTTACGTTCGGGCATAGAATTAGCTCCAGCCAGTATGAGCGGAAAATCTTAAAGGTAAAGAAAATAGGACGCATACTGTCATTTTGTTTTGTTGTGAATCGCCCTTAAAAAATCGATTATCATTGACATGGGGTTTTTCTCGGGTTTCGAAATGCAACAGTCGGATTTGCAGTCCAGTCATTATTGAAGAGATTAGTCTACTGCGGTGTCGATCAACAGAACAACGAAGTCATGGTTCTTTCATATATTTCCCGTCAGCCTGATTTTTCGGCGAGCGGCACACATCCATATCTATACATTTGGTAATGAGCTGCTTTAAACGTTTGTACATATATATGTTGCACCAACGTCTCTCCAACTGGTTAAACTTTGGCTGGTAAAGCCTGCATGTTCTGGTACACGCTGTTGAGCTGTACTTATGAGCGAACTATTGATCTTGTTAAATGCCCCAGACGTAGGTGTTTGTGTTTGCTTTTTTGCAATAGAATTTGCAGGAACATAGTGTACGCTTCTTCGAAACTTTCTGTGTTTTTCCATCAGCTGTAAAATATTTAGACTAAAATTTACACCACGCCAGTCGTTGGGTGGTTTCGTTCGGCATTATAAAAGTTTAAACGCATAGGTACTGCGCATGAAACTATACATCAAATTTACAACAGTTTTCTTTTGTGTTAAAGAAAGCATCACTTTACAGTGGTAATTCCAATGAAGCTGATGGTATGAAAGAAAGTCCACAAAACTCGGCGGGGCAGTGGGAAGCGGTCTCGTTCAAATTCATCGATAGCTCTTGACATCCTTAATAAATTGCCCATGTGACATAAACAGCCATAAATTTGAAAGTGTCAACTTGTTGCGGTGCAATGAAGGCTCGGCGAAGGGTTCTTTTTTTTTGTAGCTCTGAAAATTTATTTCATCTCACGGTGTACCTTCAACTACATTTGTCAAAGAGCGAAAAGCCACAAACTTATTGTAAACAGCGCTGCTTCATGCGGCTTCTGGTTTTAATTTGACAAAGTCATCATCAAGTAAACGCGAAAAAAAAAACGAGCTGAAGTTTAAAGTAAGCAGTTACTTGCGCGCAACGAGTGCATTGCAAATCGCAACAGTAATTTCGTAAATTTGCATTATGGAGGACCGACCCTTTACTCTGGTGAGGATCTTCGGAGCGTGGCCTTCACGTACTTCAGCCGAGAAAGCCACACGAGCCCTTCTGCAATTCTTGAGTGCAACGTCACTGTGCAACCACCTGTGAAACCAGAACTGTGTTTGCGGTGTGCGTGTTATGTGCAATGTGTATCTCCTCCTCTCTCTCTCTATTTCTTCCTCATTCCCTTTTCTTCCGTGTAGCGTAGCAAACCGGACTTAGTCTAGTTAACCTCCCTACCTTTCTGACATTTTCATTCTTTTCTCTCTGTCAACTTGGCTAAAAGAAAAAAAAAATATGCGACTACTACGAGCTTGATACTGGCAAAACACAGCGAGAGGTGGCGTGAGATACGGAACGCGATAGCGCACCACCAGGCCCAGGCGTATTGCACAACACACTAGGCATATTGCACAACACAGCTGATTGAGTTCTACCATGATTTAGTGTCCGAGGTGGATGACAACAGTCAAGCAGACTGTGTTTTCTTAGATTTCAGAAAGGCGTTTGACACCGTGTGCCATCCCTTGCTTCTTCGGAAACTCGAAAGGGCAAATAGTGATAAGAAAGTACTGAATTGGATAGCTTGTTATCTATCAGAGCGTTGACAATGTGTCATTCTCAATAGTACTACTTCTTCTACGGTAGAAGTAACATCGGGTGTCCCTCAAGGGTCCGTTTTAGGGCCGCTACTGTTTTTAGTTTACATTAATGATATTCCTGCTGGCATTACTTCTCGAATACGTTTATTCGCTGATGACTCAGTTGTGTACAAAAAAAATAAAAAAATGAACAGGATTACATTGAATTGCAGGCTGACCTCACCCGAATTTCGCAATGGTGTGATAAGTGGAAAATACAACTTAATGTGAAAAAATGTGTGCACGTGCCTTTTACTAAAAAAATGAAAAAGAATGAAACGCATTACTTTTTGAACGGTGACGTCATTGAAGATCAATCAATGTATAAATACTTGGGTGTAACACTTACGAGCGACTGTTCATGGAATGCGCATGTGCATTCTGTAGTTGCAAAAGCTGCCAGAGCCCTAAATTTCATTCAACGAAATCTGAGATCCTCCCCTGCTGTCCTAAAAATTACTGCGTATATTTCATTTGTCCGCCCGATTTTGGAATATACATGTTGTGTGTGGGGTCCGCGCCAAAAGAGTTTGATTTATCTGACCGAGAAAATGCAGAACAGAGCGGAAAGCTTCGTTCTCAGTCGGTATAAGCGAGGTGACAGCTGTACTGAAATGAAAAACGAGCTGAGATGGGAAGCGCTCTCCTCTCGCAGAAGAAAATCGCGTTTGAAATTGTTATTTCAGATATACCATAAGAAGACTGGCACCAATAAAGACACCTACCTTACACCACCGCATTATCTGTCTAGAAGGTCTGATTATGACCTTAAGATTCAAGAATACCGGACTGGAACGAACCTTTATGCAAATGCTTTTTTGTTCATACTGTACAAGAGTGGAATCAATTGTCTTGTGACCAAGTGTGCTGTCATAACGAAGACTTGTTTTTTTTCAGAGCTGTAACCCCCCCCCCCCCCCCCCCCCACTTACACGCCTTTGGGCAAAGCAGGGTATTTCTGAATAAAGAATAAAGAAAATAAAGAACATTGGATACGTCAGTGTCAACACCGCACCGGCAGCTTGCCTTGAAATTCTATATCAACGCGAAAAAGCGGTGAAGTGCATATGATGGAAAAGCGGTGCTCAAATGCAAGCAGCGTCGCTCCTATATATGTCTATACATAGGCAACCCCTATAACGCGCTGTTCACCAGGGGGTTCACGGTTTCATAGGAGGTCAAAAAAGAAAACGCCACAAAATGCGGGGAACAGAAGCAACATTTCCTGTTATACGAAATTCTGCATGCAACTAAAGTATTTGCCTGTGTGGTCTCATGTTGTTCTATACGCGCAGCGAGACTGGCAGTTAAGTGAAAATCGAACCGCGAAGGTGAACGAATAAACACGCCTGACCAGATGGCCCAGTAAGCTTTGTTTGCCTGGCGAGTGCGATGTATAAACAGTGGCAGGCGCCTCCGACTTGGGGGAACGAAGGACCGGTCGAAACAAACGAGTCACCCAGCCCAGATTTGAGCTTGCCGGTGGCTACGGATGTAAAACTCAGTGAGGCGAAAAACCGCCCAGGGAAATTCTAGCGCAAGCCAAATATAGCCAGTTGTACATTCCGCGTGAAGTGGTTGCCTGCATGTGTCTCAAAAGGTTCACCATTGGCCCGGCAGTGCTTGTTTTTACTCAAGTTATTTGCTGCTCCCGCCGCCTGTGGAGTGCGAGAATTTGCATGGGTGCCCGATTTCGCTCTATACAATGGTCGAATCGGCCACTTGTAGCGCTTAATGCGCTATAGGTGGCATGTTTAGGAGAACGCCATTTCGGAGTGCTCTTTAAGAGAATGGTTTGGTGGCATCTACCTAAATAGTAAATCATGGCTACTCATATCACCTCCGGGCATGATGGAAGAACGTTCGTCTGAAACCACCAGAATAGTTCAGCGTTTTGATGTCCGTGAATTGATTTATCACTCAGTGTCGGCCAAGGTATGTGCGCCACTGAGAGACAGATAAGTGGACCGCCCTTTTCAGTTATATCCCTGGAGGCGTTAGCATGCTTTATCCTCTGGCTTGCTCCTCCCTCCAGGTGCCGGCGCACACACACACACACACACACACACACACACACACACACACACACGCGCGCGCACAAACATACGTATGTTGTATACAACAGCATGCAGTACAAATAAATAAATTAATACATACACACAAACACAATATACACGAAAGGGGAGGGGATGTTGTTTCGGCG